CATTTAATTCACTTCATCTGTGATAGAGTATTCATACACCGCGCAAGCGTCACTAACGGGAGCAGAAAGTGTCGGCTCTGTTTTCACCTCCGCCCCGACTGCAAGCGGCTGCTCTCGCTGACTGCCGTCTGTAGCTGTGCTTCAAGGCGAACGCACCTCTTGTGTGGAGAACGTGACGGATGTGTCCACCCGCAGCCAATCTGCCTCTGACCGTCACTGGTTTCCACACAAATCACTTGGTTAGAGGGCATTACCAGCTAGTTAGAGGTTTCTGTTGCATCTTAATAACACTACACTAAACCAAGCTCATGTGTCATACTTTATGTGTTGGTTTGTCCAGGGTGTCCATATTACAGGCGCAACTGATAATCAATAAATCTGTTAAATTATTTATCTGATAAATCACTTTTTCTTTTTTTTTTTTTTAAAAGGCAAACTTTTTTTCACACACAAGTCAATGTTATACAACAATGTGCAAGTCAACATTACCTTAAGGCTGAAAAAAACATTATATTAAAGGGTCATGAAATATATAGTTCAGTCATGAAACTCTAGATGGCGCAGGCGACGGGTTGTTAACATAACGGATGATATTCAGAGAGTTAAACGACTTGGCACAGCTGATTGGTTTATTCTACATATGCAGCCAATGAGGTTACTGCCTTGCATTTATATGGCTGGCTGGCATTCACTAGAGATTCCTGCAGAGCACTTTCAGAGTTCTCTGAAACCCTCCACCTCCCCCAGCTCCACCTGTATAGAGCTGCAGTGGGGTTATTTTATATGCTATTTGGGCAGCAGCAGTATGTCTTAAATACTCACAGCACCGTATCGCTGTATGCAGTGGCAGTAGCAAGTACTTACAGGGACCTACTAGGACCTACATACACAATACACACACTATCAAAACTGCTCCATGAGTTATGGGTGAACAGTCTCTCATGAGGAGAGATAAGCAGATGTTTGTGTGTTGTTGTAATAGTAAATGACACAGCACATGAGAACAGCTCCAGTCTCGTCAGATGAGGTGTGTTACAGATGAACATACGGACACTGTCAGGAACTATTTATCTAGCAGAAGGGTGCCGTTCAATGATTTTACTTCAGAAAGTAATATATTTGTGCTTTAATACTGTGCCATTCAGCCATGATTATATTCACAATATAGCACAGCCTTACTGCTTAAAATGTCTTTATGTTGATTTCATTTAGAGATTCATTGGAAAATTAAATGTATTAATTACTTTTATTATTATTAATTAGATTTTAATGTTAGGTGCAATTAATCACAATTCCAGAATTCTGTGTAATCCGTAGGGCTGTAAAATCGATTCATTGTGATTAATCACTTCCAAAATAAACGTTTGTGTTTACGTAATATACTGTATATGTGTGTGTGTGCTGTGTATATTCATATGTATATATAAATACACACACATACATGTATATGTTTAAGAAATATATGCAATATAAATGATGAAGACGCTGACATTCACCCGATGTTGATATTGTCTGCTGGATTCATATGGATTAAGATATGATTCTTATATTTCTTGAAGCTTCAGAAGAGTTGAAGTGTTATTCAGCTGTGGTTGAATAACCTTTGACATGACGTGACTCTGCACACCGAATACTGCCGCGAACTGCTGCTGATTTTATTCTGTGTATGATTAAACCACAGAATAACATAGAGCGCCTGTGCTGCCATTTTAATGAACTATTTTTACATAATGAACTGTTTTTAATGTCTACATGTAAAGTCCTGAAGTGTGACTCCTGAATGTAAAGTCCTAGAGTAGCACATGACCCTGGTGTTTGTTCGCAGAGCAAGTTTTGAGAGAGTCCCCAGTGAAAGTGTAAATCAGCTCCTCTGAAACACTTCCAGTCTGACTAGACCTCGAGTCAGTATTGCTGTGTAATTCCTCCGTGTCCTTGTTTTTCAGATGAACCACAACCTTCTGCTGCTCCTGCTCTCCTTCAGTCTCCATCAGGTACGCTTCATCTTTGCTGGTATGCTGATGTTGTTTTGGTTTTTGTCGCATTCGATTATTTGCATTTCAGGGTGACGTTTGACCAGTGCTGAGTGATGTAAATGTAATGTCTTGTAAATTAACAACTGAAGAAACCTAATCAGCTCAAAGAGTGACAGACATGCTTGACTTTCACTGATCTGGCCTAGGGTTGTCATGATGCCAGTATCGACATGCCAATACCAGTGAGCTTTGTTCATTTTCAGTCATTTTAGTAATACTATAAAAACTGAAATGCTGTTAAACACATTCCATCATTTCAAACCCCACTGATTCAAAATGCTTGTATGAATAAAGTGAAGTTAAAACGAAGATGTCTTGTTGTTTGGACTGTGAGGTCCTCCGATAGCATTGGAAGACTGTATTATTGTTATCCTTTTCTGTCTTTTTTGGTATTGAAACACTGGCACTATTGACAGCCCTAATGCAGTCAGTTTTGCTGCAGAATGTGTGGTGATCCTGGATCAGCTGAGACGAGTGATGGTGTTAGTCTTGATTTTAAAGCGTTCAGACGCCTTCCTTCTGACTTTCCCATGTCGCGAGAGAAGCCTGGTCTCCTTCAAGTCCGTGATGCTGTGCATCAGTTAATCTTTACTGCAAGCCTCTCTTAACGTCATCATATTTCATTCTTTCAGAGCAGATAGGCCTATGTATAAATAGATTTCAGAGAAAAAAGCACATGCTTTTACTGAAGGAGAAACAGTCTAGAAACATGATCAAACACTTGGAAATCAGAATCTCATCTTCACGTGTCATCAGTAGTCACGATGTAGTTAGTTTGAAGACTGTGAAGCCTCACAGGATCATCTGTATCCCAGACTCCAGTTAAGCGCGGCTCATGTCTCATTCTGATCCCACAGACCGCTGCCATTCTCCATCTATAGCTTCACAGGCCAGTGCTAGTCTTGCTATGGATTCAGTGGGACATAAGGACTCGGCAGCATTCGATCCCGATGTGCTGAGCCAGTCAGACGACGACTTCATGTTCGAAACGAGAAAGAATCCATTCCAGGCGTTTCCCCCCGTGAGCGACGACTTTGGCGAGACCACTGCTGCCAGGAGATCAGTGGAGGTGTCAGAGAGTCCGTCTCCAGACCTGGTGCAGGACGCGTATGATGAAGCTCATGCGCAGTCAGAGGAGCTCGAACAAGACACTGATGCTGACGCACCCGTCTCCCTTTCATATGCTCCGTCCCACCTTTTCTCAGAAATCAACACGACGTCTGATGACCGACCGACGTCTCTCCCAGATATTCTCAAGTCGTCTCCGCTGAACCCTGACAAACTGGACTCGGGCTCATCAGAAGAAAGCCCTGATTTCAGCCCGGTTCACAGAAGTGTGGACAATTCCCCAAATTCCCCATTCCCTGCTAACAGTCCGATTGGATTTGACTCCAAGATCTTACTGCTGAAGGAGATGACTGAGGAGACGGAGGCCAGAGCTGTGCAGAAGGCCAAACTGGAAGCAGTGCAAAGTTTTGCCGCTTTCGATCTTGTGAAAGAGACAGACGTGCCTCCGAAGAGCGACGGCCTTCTGAAGGACAAAGAGGATGCTGAGGTGTTCAGCCAGACTGCAGTTCAGACGGCTGACAGATTTGAGTGTCTTAGCTTCCCCAGCGGAACGTCTCGAGAACCGTCTGATTCCGAGAGTCCATCTGCAGACTCCTTCTCCCCGGTGCTGGACGCAGTCACAGAGGAGCCATCGAGCTTCAGCGCGGAGCAGGAGCGGCGAGCCATCCAGGGGGCAATGGACACCGCTGAGGAGGTGTCCGAGCAGGAGGTCTCGTCTGAAGAGTTCGAGTTTGTGGAGCGGCCGCCGCGAGGAGCCTCTGAGGAGTTTCTGGAAATGCAGGACAGCCTGGCATTCATTAAACCATCAGAAATGCTGCAGGATGAGGACAGATCTCCTAAACTCGAGCCTCAGGAGGCTGCAGATCACATGCATGCAACCGAAGACGCAGAAAATCAAAGCTCTTACCATCTCCTCACCCAGGCGTCAGACAAACCTTCCCCTGCGAGAGGTGAAGCAGGCCTGGAATCTGATTTGCAGGAAATTTGCCCAGCTCCTGTAATCCATCCTCCAGTGGATAAGACCGGAGCTAAGGAGGAGGAAGCTGAAGTGGGCAGCATGTGTGATCTAAGCGCAGCAGCAGGTAAATTCAGCACAGACCGGCGTCAGTGCCATTACAGCACATGCTTCTTCACAGGACCTTTTCATTTATCCATCCTTTTCTGTCCGTGTACCTTCATCATTTGTGTTTTGTCCTTTATTCCCTCATCGTTCATGCATCTTTCATGCATCTCACCATTGGCACGGCCTGATAGATGTTGCGTAATGGCTGCATTTGCATGATCACCTTTCCCTTTGATTTGTTCAGCGTCCCACCGCTGTGGCCCAAGATAACAATGCGATTGGTTTATGATTGACTACTTGTGTCGTATTGGATTTAGGATCGTTTTTCTCAGATATAAATGAATGTGAACATCAGTTATTTGATTAACAGTTTGTAGTGGTCAGATGAGAGTATTGAGGGTTCAGTCGAGGCTCTTTCAGCCGTGATGATGAAGCGTGCTGTAGGTCACAGAGCGTCATGCTGGATCACTGCTGGACTGTGCTTACAGAGCACGCTAATGCTCTCAGTCAGACTGGACTTTATGCCTGGTCCTGCAGGTTTGTCAGGAGTAACGTGTGGTGATAGCATGCAGTAATGTTTGAACAGGAATGTCTGCGTTTATACCAAGCGTCCCGCATGAGTCCTGAAAAGTGAAGCCAAAGCGTCTCGATCGCCCCCAGGTGAGACAAACTATTTTTGAATTACAAAATTTTGAATATCAAATTACACTTCAAATAATTTTTTCTAAATACACTTTCTATCATTTTATGTAGTTCTTAGCATGCTGATGTATGTTCAATTGTTCGTTTTAGGGCTGCAACAAACGATTATTTTGATTATTGATTAATCTAAACGATTATTAGAACGATTAATCGTCTAATCGTCGATTATTCCACTAATTAATAAGTAGACTTGGATTGATTATTCACCTTTTGCAGTTAGTTAAAATATTGAGCTATATATATTCTAACAAATTAATAAAGGTAAGCACTTCAGCTTTTAAAAGTCATATTATGTAATTACAATTATAAAATTAATTTGTACAAATAAATATATTTGGCACGCAAAATGAGATGACAGAGAAACTCTCTCATTCACCATTTAATTAGCTATATGAAAAAGTAGCTGAATGACACATCATGCTGCCTAACATCTCCTTCTGTAAGTCATATGGGTAAGAAATAAAATAAAGGTAAGTGATAAGACGCTTTATTTTTGGATAAACTATTTTATTCACAACATAATCTCTCTTAAAATACAGTATAGGGTTATGCTAATCAAAACAGTCCTGAGCTAGATCAAGCTTCTGCAAACCAAACTATGACTTTAATGAAATAATATTTTCCCCCACTAATAAAAAGATTGTATCATTAGCTAGCTCCACACTGGAGAGCTGCTTTATAACAGAAAATCAGCTTGTAATTCTAACTGAAAGCAACACAGACTCTGGTTTTTTTATGTTTAATACTGTAAAGCTGCTTGATTTAAGGCTATTGCATAAAGTACTATATAAATAAACGTGAGGTGACTGGACTTGCTGAGCTTGTGCAAACATCCACATCGCTGTAATCAGATGCTTTCTTACCTGCTGCTTTCTCACCGCTGTCAGTTTTTGTTGTTTATTTTGTTATTGAGAGGAAAGCGCGCAGCATATATTTACATATTCATCCAAAAGCCGCTCAACAGCTTCAGGTTCGGCTGCGTTTGCTCCGAAGCGCTGTGTCTTCTTCTCTTGAATTGCATCCGGGAGAGCTGAATTACTGAATTACCGCATTACTGCAGGCTCTTACATTAGCTCATATGAGATCAAACGACTACTCGACAACAATATTTGTCTACAATTTTTTATTGTCGACGTTGTCGATAATGTTGACTAATCATTTCAGCCCTAGTTCATTTTTTTTATAAGTTTGCTTTTAATTAGTTATTTGATGCTATAAAAACGGGGTGTGGTGTGCGATTGTGATCTTGCGATTGGGTCTGCGGGAGTTTGGGCGGGACTTTGATACTGCAGCTCCACCTCACGATCACTACTGCGCAGACTGACGTACAGATGACATAATTTTCACAAGATGACAGCGGCCATACTGAGAATGTTTTGACTTCACTTTTCTATCGTGGAAGGAAGTGGAGATGCGTCGTCCATCTTTTTACAGTCTATGGTTTATACGTTTATAGTGTGGAGTTTAGGGGTGCAACGGATCGTAGATGATCCATGATCCACATGGACAGGCCCACAGGCCCCATGGTTCGGCACGCATGTGATTCGTGGATTAACTGTTACGTTTAGAGAGAGAGAGAGAGGGAGGCACAAATCAAACAGCGCGAGGACACTGCATTGATTCCTCTTTCAAGTCTGTTTGCACTTGAACGGATACATACACACAAAGCTGTGTCAAAATACCCGTTTTGGCAAGTATTCTGGTAAACACAGTCGGTTATGTCTTAAGTGACTGTAAACAGTGGCAAGAGAAACCGGATATGTGTCAGTATTGGTCTTAAAGAGACAGCAGCCAATAAATACCTGCTTCTGTCTGCCAGACTCTCTTATCATGCACTAGCTCTCGCTGCAGCGCGCGTGGTGTGGACTTGTGATGCTTGAATGTTGTTCCTTCTAGTTGTGCTGTTGATGTTTACAGACGTGTGGTGTTGGACTGACGCTCTGCTGTCGATAACAGATAAATGCAGATCTTTAGCTGAACGTGCTGCTGTAACAGAGGTGACCTTTGCTCCTGGAGAGTGTCAGTATCACACAGATAATCTGGCCAAAGGTTCTGGGTGTGGTGGGTCAAAAGTAGCGGTTGTTTAATGATTTGCTGCTATGTCTTGCAAAATGAGGTGGCCTAGAAGCAGAAGCGTTGCTTGCTGTGCGTATGTTGGCTCTGTTCACCTGGTTTAGACAGATCTGGAGTCCTTCACGCGGGACTCCGGTCAGACGCAGATCCTCACGCTGCCACACTGGGCTCATTGTGTGAAGGGACAGGTGCACACGCGTGATGGTGGCGTGTCCTGCGCAGGCCTGAGGCCAGAGATTCACTCCGTCAAATGCTTCTTCAAACAAGACCACGAAGCAGCCCTTTTAATGATGATGCTATCAAACCTTACTGTATTCAGATACCGTGGCATTTATGTTCAGAGACATTGTAGTGTCCAGAAACCACTTACTGCCTGAAACATGGTAATATCATGGTGTTACACTGTTTGAAGGAAATCCCATATTATTTGATGGCATAGTAGTTGGTATTTTGGTAGAAATTATGGCTAGCATAGTAGACTTCTCAAGGAAGTTTCAGTTCTACTGTTACTGATGTCACAAACCCGGGAAGAAGCTCGTTGTAGTCCCTACCAGTCTTTTTTGTAGTCCTTAAACAGTGATTTCTTTAAAAGAAAGTATCTCCCTTTGCACTGAACTCTGAGCGTTGTAACTTTGCAGACGATGTTTATGCTCTAACAGCAACATTACACACTAATTAAAGTTAAAAAAGTGAAATCATAATCAACCACCCCTTTAAATTTGTAAAGTTATCAGGAATGTAGTTTTTGCTTTGTCATGAATGGAGTATAAATTGAGGTGAGAAAAAAACAATTGAATGCATTTTGGCATAAGGCTAAAGCATAGAATGTGAAAAAAACTGACTGTAAATGACAGGTTTTGGGTGAATTTTCCCTTTATTTCTATAAAAGGATGTGTCACAGATCTGTGTGATGGGAGATGTGCTGTTAAACTCTGTCTGTGTTTTAGAAGAGGAGTCAGTCGTGAGGTGTTTGTGAGTGTAATAGTAGACCAAGGTGCCTCAGATGTGTGCTTCTCTTCCACGAGTGGACGTGTTGTGTGAGAGTACACACGTCCACAGATCTGTGTGATGGGAGATGTGCTGCTAAACTCTGTCTGTGTTTTAGAAGAGGAGTCAGTCGTGAGGTGTTTGTGAGTGTAATAGTAGACCAAGGTGCCATCAGATGTGTGCTTCTCTTCCACGAGTGGACGTGTTGTGTGAGAGTACACACGTTTATCATGGACAGGCATCAGTCACGTCATGCAATAGTTGATTTATGAGCAGGTGTTTATTCTGTGAATGTCAGTGAGTGTGATCTGAAAGTGGAATGAAGCAAACACGATCCTTGTGCATGTTCAGCAGTCATTATTATTATTAATCTCATTCTCTGCTTCATGTTCATCCCGTCCCTCAATCCCTGGCATCAGACGGAGGTCCCGTGAGGCTGACGTGTGTGTGTGTGTGTGTGTGTGTGTGTGTGTGTGTTTCAGTTCTGGAGCTGCTGTACTGGCGGGACGTGAGGTCCAGCGGGCTGCTGTTCGGCTGCAGCCTCTTCCTCCTGCTCTCCCTCCTCACCTGCAGCATCATCAGTGTGCTGTCCTACTCCACACTGGCTCTGCTGTCCGTCACCGTCTCCCTCAGGATATACAGGGGAGTCCTGCAGGCCGTCCAGAAATCGTGTGTGTTTCAGTTCTGGAGCTGCTGTACTGGCGGGATGTGAGGTCCAGCGGGCTGCTGTTCGGCTGCAGCCTCTTCCTCCTGCTCTCCCTCCTCACCTGCAGCATCATCAGTGTGCTGTCCTACTCCACACTGGCTCTGCTGTCCGTCACCGTCTCCTTCAGGATATACAGGGGAGTCCTGCAGGCCGTCCAGAAATCTGATGAGGGACATCCATTCAAGTGAGTCCAGATCAGAAACACTGTGTGTGTGTGCGCGAGTAAGAGAGAGTGTGTGTGTGTGTGTGTGCTGCTCTGCTCGTAGTGTAGTGTGTGTTCAGGTCTCATGTCACGACCCTTACATTATGAGTGTCTCTGTGATTCAAATCACTAAATAAACATACTGGAGTTGCTTGAATGACAAATGTTTTTTGAACTAATTTTTACAGACGGTACCTGGAAAAGGATGTAGCTTTGTCTAAAGATGTGGTGCAGAGACACAGTGATGCCGTTCTGAGCCGGATCGACCGCGTGTTGAAGGAGCTGCGGCGGCTGTTTCTGGTGGAGGACCTGATCGACTCGCTGAAGGTCTGAAGAGTCTTTCTGTGTAGTAAATGAGAAATACATAACCTAACCCTAACCTAAACATTTATACTGACTCAAGTAGAAGTTAATGTAGGTCATGAGGAAAAATACTGTTATTAACTGATATACTTAAAGGCGCAGTTCACCGAAAAAGGATAAATCTGTCATGATTTACTCCCCCTCATATCATTTCAAACATTTCTGACTTTCTTTTCTTCTCTGGAAGTGAAAAGAAGATATTTTGAAGAATGTTGCAGTCTGAACAACATTAGACCCCACTGACTTTCATTGTGTGGACACAAAACAGAGACATTTCTCAAAATATCTTCTTTTGTGCTTCACTGAAGAAAGAAAGTCATACAGGTTTGGAACAACATGAAGGTGAGTGAATGATGAATGAATTTGCTGAGTTATGCGGTGAACTAACCCTTAAAGCAGGGACCTTCAGCCCAGCTCCTGCAGTTTTCTGCTCCAACCGCAGTCAAACACACCTGAAGCAGCTGAGCAAGGTGTTCAGTTCTTCTTGATAATGACAGGAGCAGAGCTGCAGATCCCTGCCTTAAAGTATCAAAAGTACATTTCATAAATAGAAACTAAAGCTGGACAACTGCAGCGGAGCAAAATGTGCAAGATTTGCCTTTGGGATGTAGTGGAATATATGCATTCAATGGAAATACTCCAGTGAAGTATTAGTAGCTCAGATTTGTACAGTGAATGTACTTCGTTTCGTTCCACCACATGTCAGAGGCCTCAGAGGAGAATAAGTCTTCTTGAGTCAAGTCTGGAGAGAGCCGGGAGTAGCACTGCGTTAAGATTAATACACTGAAGGACAGAGCTCAAATACATGCCAATGTTTTCCAAAGATTGTAATGAGGTAGAGATTACGAAAGTGAGAGTACAGCATATGCGTAAATCTTTTATATATATTTGGATGTTGGCTTGATTTCTGTCCAGTACATAGAATCTGAAATTAAATAATGAGTAAGAACTCGTGCTACGCCCTCCTAACCACCCTTCCTCATTACGCCATCACAATAACCAGCATGTCTGTCTGTTCAATCTCCTTCCCCTTCCTCAATCCAGACAACAATCTACAGTCATGGCCACAAGTTTTGGCAATTACATAAATTTTGTGTTTTGGAGGTAACCATTGCTAACAAGAACACAATGATTGGAAGCACTTCTTCCCTCCTTTTATAGCAATCAGTCTGCTCTTACGATCTAATTAGTATGATAGTGATTAACCTGACTAGTACTCATTCACACTTTCACATGTGCTGCTGATATGATTAGTCAATTAATGTTAGCTGGTCAATTTGTGTCAGGATCATAAAACAGTGAAATTATTATTTTTTTTTATCTGATCACTCACACAATAATCTAGAAACAATGTGAATGAACACCAGAACAGCTTAAGATGCAAACTTTGCAAAACACTAAATTGATGTCACTGCCAAAACCTTTGGCCATGACTGTAGACTCTGGCTTCATCGACCTCGAGGCTCTCTTTTCAACAATAAATAACCTCCTCAAACCGAGTGATAACTCCTTCAACTCAATCCATTGCCCACTCCACTTCTACACATATTGCACCTCTGTTTGCTATTCAGCCTGTCTCAGTTTTCATGTGTGTGCACAACAGAGCTGTTCAACTGAATGGCAGGACAGAGAAACTCTGCTTGTGTTCTGGATCCCATCCCATGTAATCACTGAAATCATAAACTCTTCCTTCAGTTCTGGATCAGTCCCACAAACACTGACTGTTGTCATCCCTCAACTATCAGCTTTCAAAAAAATCATGGGTCATGATTAGGGCTGCACGATAATTGATTTTTTGCCGATATTTTTCAAATAATTTTGGCCGATACCGATATGTATTTCCTTTTGTTTTGAACCAACACCAAGTCTCTCCTTGCAGAACTTATAAACAAATTATCTTAAACTTTAGTTAGTTTTGAGCAAAAACTTATTTGCTAGTGTTACGACCCTGGTCTAGGTCAGGACTGCAACATAAACGACACAACAATGAATGGCTGTTTAAGTACTCATTTTAATTCTCTCAGATCAATTTTTCGTGCGATAGCAGTTTTGGAGAGTACAAACAATATCACCACAAAGAAATAAACAAATTAAAGAAACTGAGGCAAATTATCAGGGGTGAGCAAATGCCCAAAACAATAAACAAACAACACTCTAACTTCCCATAAAGAAACTAACTTCCCTGGGAATCAAAATAAAGAAACCAAAATACAACAGATCTAACCTCACTCCTTGTCTACCCAAAAACAGGAGAAAAGGATAATGGCCAAGTGGCTTATAAAAACAAATAAGGGACTCACCCCCTACAACCTCACACGTGGCTTACAAACATGAACAGTGAAACATTGAAGTTAAAGACATAAGGCTCTCACAACACATGGAGCTACAGCACTCCGTTAGAATATAGACTTGAGATCTCACAGCATTTTCACTACAACTTAACACACAGTTTTAACACCAGAGCAATCAAAGAGAGACATACAGAGCAATGATCATAACGAGCAGCAAGAGTGAGAGTGAGAGCACCCTCCAGTGAGATCCGAGGGAATTTATAGTACAGGTCTCATCTCTGGTCCACCCACCAGCAGTCTCTCATTAAGCCTTGAACCAATCCTTCTCTATATTAGAGGAGACAACAGGAACACATCCACAGCATACAATACGTCTTAGACGTAACAGCTAGATATAATAAACATTATTAAATTTTTTTTAAAAATGTGAGTACATTGAAAGCTTTGAAAATAACATCTCAGGTTACATATATAACCATGGTTCCCTGAGTAGGGAACGAGACACTGCGTCCTCTAGGGGTTGCTATGGGGAACGCCTCGTCGTGACCCGTGTCTGAAGCATACATTGAAAAAACACCAACTCGTTGGCCGGCGACAGCCATGACGTCACTACCGGTGCGACTATAGTATAAATAGGCGCCGGGAGCACACATCATTCACTTCTTCGTCTGAAACTTGCATCCACAGCATGGCAAGAAACCTAGAGGACGCAGTGTCTCGTTCCCTACTCAGGGAACCATGGTTACAAAGTAACCTGAGACATTCCCGTTCATGGGAACTTTGAACTGCGTCCTCTAGGGGTCGCTATGGGGAACGGTATACCCACGCCACCATGCTGAGGGGAGTGCATGCCAGAACCATGGCGAGCACTAA